ACCTTTTGTAGAAGTTATAAAAATTAAGGACCGTTTTTCTAGTTGAGGAATTGATTTTAGATAGAAAAAAAGGACCTCTAATAAAACTCTTCCTTTAAGTTATTTATAAACTCTTAAAAATCAAATAAATCACAACTACCATTTAATTAAAAGATTTTAATCCAATATTTTAAAGAGATACTTTTTATTATGAGACACTTTTCCACTCTAGAGACCACTTAGAGGACAAAGTCAACCATGAGAAGTAATTCTAAAGAGAGAAAAATTTAGGAATCTCTCATAATTTTATTCCTTTTTATTTTTTTGGTTTTGTGATTTATTTTAGTATTTTTTTTCTTAAAAAGAAATCCTAGAAATCATTTTGTCAGAAATCTTCCCAAAAATGTTTCATGACTTTAATTAGTTTGAGAATTTCGGTGAAAGTTTCGGAAATATGGACAATGTATTTTGGTTCACGGGGCACATAACTTAGACACCACGTTATGCACGTGAGATAAAAAGGCAGCAAATTCTGACTCTAGCTTCCGCAGGGGTCCTAACTTTCTATAAGAAAAATAATTAATTTATGTCTACCATATTTATTAATAGTGCATATTCAATTGAGTTCGCTAGTTTCATAAAACATAATTTATTTAGTTTAGCAAAATGAATAAGTAAACGAATACAGTTTCTACACATGCAAAACGTCATTTCACCTAATTATCACGAGCTTATAGAAAAGAACTCTTTGGAAAATAATGGCTCACGCGAAACATTATACCAAATACCTTTTACATGCGACACTGAAATGATCAAACAATCATTTTTTTGTTTTCGTTTTATTATGTTCGCGTGTACGTGTTGTTTAGTACGTGGATGGCTAAAACATTTTCATTTGTAAAATATTATATGTAAATAATAGAACATCTTTATCCATATCATTCTATATATAAAAAGAGGGGATGCCTCTTTTTAACTTTGGTACTTCAACTCTTTGTTTGCTTGCTTTCACTTTTTTTTTTGTTTTTGTTTTTTTGTTTTTTTGTTTTTAAGCTTTCTTTTTTATTTATTTATTTTATTTGCTTGTTTTTAAACCTTTTTTTAAAATGTTATTTTTCAGTTTTTTTTTCTTTAATTGTATTTTAAATTTTTGTTCTTTTTTTCTTCTTATTTTTAAGTTTTTTTTTTTTTGGTTTTCAAGCCTTTTTTTTTTATCTATATCTCGAGGTATGAAATTTTGTACGTCAACTATTTTCTTGCTAGCTTTCTTCTTTTTTTTTTTTTTTCAATTTCCATTTATTCTCCTTTTCTTATTATTTTTGTTCTTCTTTTGCACTATTTATTGGTTTTTTCTCTCTTTTTTCATTTCTATTTTCATGTTGCCTTCTAAAATTCTTTTTCCTAAAATTTTCCCTTTAAAGAGTGTTTTATTTATTTTTTATTTTTATTTCAAAATTGCTTATAAAATTATTTTTCCTAAAATTTTTCATTTCAAATATTTTTTTCTCAAGTATGTTTATGAGTATCTTATTTTGTGTTCTTTAACTCCTTGCTTGCATGCTGATAAATTGTTCTTCAACCTGTTGCTTGCATGTTTTACTTTAATACTTGCTTGTTCTTTTTTAAATATTGTATTTATATTGTTTCTCATTATATATTTTTTTTTCTTCTTCAACTTCTTGGTTGCATGCTTATATATAAATTGTTCTTCAACCTTTTGCTTGAAAGGTTTTACTTTAATACTTTCTATTTTTGTTGTTTCTCATTAAACTATATTTTTAATTTGTTCAACTCAAATTATAAGTTGAATTATTTGCATACTTATTTATATATTTTAATAGAGAAATAATTTCTTAAAATAAATATAATTATTTTGTAAAATAATTTTTTTTAAATAAAAGCATAAAAATTGTAAAGTACAAAAAAAAAAAAAAGTTACAACGGCCTGTTAATGTTTCTGAGCTTCATTTAGCAAAAAGACGTTTCTGAACTTCAACTCGTACCATATCATGATCATTTGACTTGATTGACACAATAGAGACACGAAATTAAAAATATTGTTTGGTCCTCTTTAGTCTTGTTCTCGTAATTTTGCCATTGAACAGAGCATCAAGCTTCGTTTAATAATTATTGAAATTGGAATGACTAGACGACAGTGTAACATATATGTTTGAGCACCCCCTGTAACATCCTGAGCTCGGTGGTATGTTAGGATTTGAGATCCAATCCCTATCTAACATTATTGGCATGCTTACTTATCTGTAATCGGAGTGGACAAGATTCAGAGTGGACATTAATCGAAATCAGAATAAACTGTTTACTTAGGTTTCAAGAATTGGAGTCGGAATTAGTCTCAATCTCATTCATACGTTTACTTACGCCCAGAATCGGAATAAACTGTTATAAATTTACTTACCTACCCTTTTAGTAGATTTTTGTGTTGAACTTTAAAAAAAAAAAGAAATTGTATATTATGCTAACTATCTTAATATTAGGATAACTAATTAATAATTAGATTTTTTATAATCACACCAAATTAATCATCTAAATTAGGATAACTAATTAGTAATTATATTGTATTAATTACTCTCTTCTTTCGTGCTAAAAATTGAGACATGGTTACTCTACATTATCAACATATAAAATTAGATTTAACATTACATTGCATATTATAGAAAACAAAAATCAGCTTACCATATAGATTGAAAAATGAAAAGCAATAGGCATAACACAAGAATCAAATTGTAAGCATGAAAAAAAGCTATCTTAATTTCATTTAATTATTTGCATTGATATAAATTCGTCCATGGCACTAGTAAAAAGAAAGAAAAGAAAAAAAATATAAGAGGAAGTGAGCAAGGAGATACGAGAGGCGTGAAAGTAAATTAGAGCATTTTTTTTATTTTTTACTCTTTACTTTTCTATTCATAAATTTGTTAGTAAAATTAAGGGTAAAATCGTAATTAATATTTACTATTAGGATTGAGAGTGCCAATCTGGTGAGGAGAGTGCCAATCTCATTCTTTAACTCCAAATTGGTGTGAGATCCACACATTTTTACTCTCATTCTAAAATAAAAATAGGTAAGTAAATATGAAGTTGATTTCGATTCTCAATTCCTATTTTTCACTCATGATAAATATGCCATATGATTCATTGCAGGTGTAACATCATTTGTACCGTAGTGATAGATGGCATGAAGTAGAAACTGTTCTTTCTCATTATCAATCCATTACTGTACACTATTAAATAATTCTTTTAACGGTTTAATTTAATTTAAGTGTTCACATTAAAAATTTACAACGATTAAAATAACTATACTTATTAGTTGTAAAAAAAAGTCTGCACAGTAAAAAAAACTTTATAAATAAATTACACAAAATGTTAACCATCAAGACTTATAATTGCATACATAATTTAACCGTAAATTCGTGAATAGACGCATTTTTATGTCATCTGATGCACTATTTTAACGTGAACTGTTAAAATTTTAATCGGAATACTAAAACTTGTTATGTTTTGTCCGACCATAGAATTTTCTCAGAAAATAATTCATAGCTTACCAAATAATTATCCTTTTCAATGTTTTCAAGAGCCTAGGAAAAGCCTACACGACCTACTATAACCATCAATTTTAAGTTATGCTGTCACGTGTAGACTTAAAGAGCACCTTGGATTGTAAACGAGAAGAATGTTGCCACGTTACGATGTAAATGGTACACTGAGAATTATAACATTTCCAACACAAAGGACAGGCAAGTGGACCTATTAATGTTGACTATAAACAAGTGGGACGACATTATAAGTCCTCATGAACACTTTAGTGTCCTTAGCTGCTACATTTCCACGTGGCTTTTTCACATATCATGGAAATATTCAGCATTGGGCATCTTCTATTTTTTCAATAGAACGATAATTAAGAGAGTTTTTCTCATAGGATTTAAAAATATAACTATTAAAAAGATAATTATTTTCAATCTATTCTGATCTGATATGATATGATTTTAATTAGATTTAATAATTAAACACCGATATTATTAATAAGAATGCCCTACAATAGTAACTCTTAATAATTTACCATCTATAATTTTTTAATTAATTAGAGATTCATATACGACTCTCAAACTTCATAGGTAGAGTATAATAATAGTCACCTTAAGCAGTATGTAACTTTGCTCTTTTTTAAATAAAATATGGTATCTTATGATATATCAAGTATCAAGTTACTTGTTTAGCAACCAATATATATATATATATATATATATCAGTTACCAACTAAATACATAAATAAAAGCAGCTTTAGCAATAATGTCAAAAGAGAAAAAACAGCACATTAGGAAAGAGTTAAAAGATTTTGCTCGCTTTGGTCCAAATCACGAACAATCAATTTCAAAAACAGTAAAGATTCCCTATCTTTACAGCTTTGGACTTTAGCTAGGACTATGGTTAGTGTTAAGAAACTTTTAATATTATTATTTTACATGACGTTTGGTTTATAGATTTAAATCACGTGATTAGAATTATTTTTAATTTATGTGTATTTTTTATGAGAAAAAATACTGTAATAAATTATGAATCATGATTCAAATTAAGACACGAATTTAGGTACCAAATGGACTCTGTCCAAGTGTGAAAACGCAACATAATTGGTGTAGTTATGAGATAGTCATCACACATAAAAGCATCATAACGAACCTGAGAATAGCGGAGGATAAGGACCCCAGCAGCCATTAAGAACAAGTAAGGATTAATGAATTCAAATTAGTTTAATAAACGCTAAGTAATTGACTGAAGGAAATGAAAAAGAAAGTCCACAAAACCAATTACCATGGCAATTGCATAATACAAGTTTGTTTTTTAATTAAAATAAAAAATAAAATAAAAAACTGTGTACCGTGTTTGATGCTTCTCAATTCTTGAGTAGAAAACTACAAATCTGACATCTCCCAATGAAACCGGCAAAAAGGCCCACACGCCTTTGAGATATACTCCTACTACTTCCTGAAGCAGTACTATGCATGTTTACTTGTACCAAAAGTCTAGCAATTTCATCTTTGAGTTCACATTCTTTAGTGTTTACCCGGAAAATAAAATCCCACTTTAGTGTCACACAAAGGGAATCTAAGAAACACAAAAACACAGAAATTTCCTCAGCCATGAACTCGATGACTTGTGCTCGAAAGAACAAAAGGCGGATCAGCAACGAGCAAGTCAAGTCGCTGGAGATCATGTTCCAATCGGATTCAAGGCCTGAGTCGAAGACCAAGCGGGCGATCGCGGGGGAACTCGGGCTGCAGCCTTGCCAAGTCGCCATATGGTTCCAGAATAGAAGGGCTAGGTCCAGGACCAAACAGATTGAGAGAGAATACAGCATACTGAAGACTAGTTACAACAACTTATTCTCTAGAGTTGAGTCTCTTAAAAAAGAGAATCTGGAACTAAACATCCAGGTAAACATTTTCTACTTTTGTTCCTCATTGTATCCTAGATATTGGTACATTACTAAAAGCAGTTATATTCTAATAAAAAAGAAAAACTTATTGTCCCACTTTTATCAGTTGCGGGAAGTGAAGACTCTGCTGGGAATGCATCATGAAAGTGAGAATTCGGGTTTTGTTAAAACTGAGGAAGCTGAAGGTGGAAAAAAGGCGATTAAATCAAACGGTGTGACGAGTCATTTATTAGAAGGTTGCAAGGACAAAGTAGGAAAAGACGCTGAAGTTGTAGAGTTGGCACAAAGTAGAGATGGTTCTTTGACATCTTCGGTGAACTGGTCCAGTTTCGAGTCATGCTGTTATGTCAACGAGACGAGTTGTTCGCAGTGGTGGGAGTTCTTGTCTTGATCACTGACTCAACCGAGCGAAGTCACATATAAGAAACAAACCTATGCACACAGAGTTTTCTCCGCTAGTGCAGAATAATTTTGGGAGACAGACCCCAAATACAGAAGTTGAAAGTCCATTTCTGTGCAAGAATTTCGAACCTCCTTTCTCTCAGAACATATAGCCAATGAATACTTTTCAAACTCCTAAGAGGCCTGAGATAATGCTGTAACGATGAAATATATAGTCCTAAATACGACTTCCTATCTTATGTTCAAGTATTACCATACTAGGTACTTACTAGACAGAGTTTCAACTTAATTCTGGTTTTTTTTTTATTTTTATTTTTAAGAAAATTAGAAGGCAGCTGAGCATAAATATGAAATTCCATTATTTAGTGCATAAAATGAAGAAGGTTATTGCAGGCTACTTGTAAAGTCTTAATGACCTTGTGTATCAAACCCCTATAAATGACTTCCCAGAGAAAGATGAAAACCGACTAGGCGACTGCAAAATTTCGATTGTTTCGATCACTAAAAATTCACAATGAAATTCAAAAGTTCCCATAACAAGGTTTTCTTTCTAGGTTTTGAGTTGGGCTGATTCAAAAGCTTTGAATTAGCATCAGGACTCTTCAAAACGCACTCACATTTTCAAGTCAACTCACCATTTGAGTCTACTCTGCTAGGAACGACACAAATAAAATTTCAGCTAACAAAGTTGACATTTTATGAATATTTCATACAAGGATTACCAGTTTGCTTCTAATGATCATTCGGATACAAAACTTCACCCTCACAACAAAACCGAAACTTTTGAACCTTGCATTCTTTACACATGTCAATCAATGATTTAAGTAATAGCCAAGTATATAGGACATTATAACTATCCATTTCTGGAGTCCTTAAAAACTTGGAAAATTCTCTGCTCACTATCTTTCTTTTCTGTTTAATTCAGTTATTTTGGGAGCCTAGCCAACATCAGAGGAAAATAGTCCATCTATTCAAGTATAACTATTATCTTGGGCAATAGGACAAATATAACAAGCGTAAATTTGGCCCGTGTACTTAGGGTTCGTTTGGTACGATAATTCAAATCATCATTCTAATTATGATTTTAGAATTAGAATCATGATTCATGATTCTAAAATCATGATTCAGAATCAGGGATTTGAATCACCTTGAATCAAGAGGGGGTGATTTTAGAATTACGAGTGATTCTGATTTAAAACATCATATCAGATTCTGAATCATGAATCAGAATCATCCAAACCAAGCACTGATTCTGAGTCATGATTCAGAATCACTGTAAACAAATACTAATTCTGAATCAGGATCCACAATCATAATTCTATTCATCTATCAAACGCCTCCTTCCCTTATTCACTCGTATCAATAAAATAGACTCAAATATATATAAATATATATATAGAATTGGTATATTTGAATACAACACTCGAAAAGTAATATTTCTCTAATTCACGCAGGTAACAATAACCGAAACCCAAACTAAAAGCTGAGTTAGTACCCAACAACACTAAACGAACACATGTCCGTAGTATTTCAAGAAGATAAACAAAATTACTGCATTCTCATGTTTTCTCACTATGTGTATGTTGGAGTTCAGGAACAAACAACTCTTTTATACATAAATTTATCCATTTGTATAAATTACCCCTTGAACCACATACAGGGTAAGCAACAATATACTCAAAGCTCATATTTAACCTTAATATCTTGCCGTTTCAATTCCTACATTGATATAAATATGCTACATATTATAGAAAAAGTATTAAGAATAAACAGAGTGGCTTGATCTGGATTTGCAATGAAAAGGATGGGTGAAACTTTGACAAAATGAAGAAACGTCGAAGTGAAACACGTTTGTGAAAGAGGTCTGTTAATTAATCCTTTAAAAAGTATATAACTCACAGTTCCAGCACCAAATAAAAGAAACAGCAGGCAAATCAAATATCAGATAATAAATAAGAAAAATGCTCGGAAAAGCCATCCAATGAACTTACTTGAGAACTTACATGGGAAATCGCACATTACATTTCCCTGACAACTTAACCATGTCATGAGCCTAGGAATTTTATGGAATGACTACCCTATGAAATTAACAAATTGATTTTTTTTTCCATTGTTGTAAAGACGACCTTCAGGTTTTTTTTTTCCCTTTTTTTTAAGTGGTCGTTTCAATTATTGAAAACTTTTTTATCGGACTCCAAGACGAGAGAATTGCTGCAATTTTATTTACACCCCATAGACCATCCGGGCATAAGAACAATAAAAGCCCAAATTTTTAAAGATTTGTTCTAAGATTTTTACTCTTACCTTTCATTAATACCTTCTAATTAATATATTTTTTAATTAAAAGATATTAATCAAATATAAAAAATAAAAATCTAAAACCTGTGTATTTTAAAGAGTAATGATCTCTTTTCTCCTAATAAACTTGACCAAAACAAAGTCAAGGAGAGCAGTGGAGGTTAGAAATTCTGGCCTTGGAGAATTGGCGGTAAGATAGAGCTGGTGAAGAAGGCCTAAATTCGTTAACGGAAATAGTAAAAAATAGACTAATATAAAAAGCTTAAGAAAGTATATAGGCTAATTTTTAATTATAAAAATTAATAGGCCACAACTTATCAAGTTATGGTTCATAACTAGATAAGTTATGGACAAATTTATCAAGTTATAGTTCATAACCAGACAAGTTATGGATAAAAATTGATAATAACTTGTCAAGTTATAGTTCATAACCAGACAAGTTATGGAAAAAAATGTAATTTAACCTATTTATTAACTTATGTAAACTATTGACCTATTAATTTTAATTCATCTCAAATCTTGACTTATTTTCCTCTTTCTCCATGTTTTCTCTGTATAAGAGTTCGACATGGTTGGAGTTCTGCTTTGGATGGTCCACAACTGTGGGCCTGTGGCTGTTGTTTCATTCATTATCATTAACCTTAGAAATCATCGTTTCATTTCCACTTATCCCACCAGTCTACCACTCTTGTCATTTTGGGAAATGGGCTTCATTTAACTACAAGAGCTAGGAATTTAAAGCCCAATCTAATATTGAGCCCATCCCCCACAGGTGCAGTCAAAGCCTATGTGGATTGTGGACGCTTCAGGGTTGAGTGAAAAGCAAATTGGATTACTTTGGCATTGAGTAGTTTGAAATGAAACTGGCGTGGTCATTGCCGAGTGTGTTGCAGCTTGGGAAGGAAGGAGTCCACCTTTTAGTTTGGTTTTCAAAATTGGGTTCTTGAGTTGGATGCTATTAATGTCGTTCAATCTTTTCGAAGTCTCTAGGGGAGCCCATGCTTATGTGATTGATGACATCAAACAAGTTTTTTTTTTTTTTTTTTTTTTTTTTTAATATAGAGTGATATATGGAGTGATGATGTTCGCTAGGTTAAGGAAAAGGAAACTATGTAGTGTACTATTTACCTATTATGCCATTTCTAATTCAGTTAATTCATTGTGGTCAGATTGGTTTCTTTTTCTTTTTCTTTTCTTTTTTTCCTCCTGTTTGTAAAAGCTGACATTATTGCTTTGTGAATGAATTCTATTTGTTGCTTAAACAACCCATCATTTTTTTTTTTTGAAAAAAAAAATGATAATAATAACAACACAAATCCTCCCATTTTCCTTCTTTTTCGCCGCTCTTTTCCTCTCTCTTTTCCTCTCTCCTTTCTCTCCCACTCGTGCATCTCTCTCTTTCTCACCATGAACTTCTTACGTTTAATTTATCAATTCAGAACCATAATTCAGAACTATTATCAGTTTACGTATATTTTTTGTGAGAAAAAATACTATGATGAGTCACGAATCATGATTCAAATCATGACACAGATCATTGTTCTAAACACACGCTTAATGTTTTATTCCTCCTTACTGAACCTTTTCCTCACCTTGTTTTTACTACTTTTCCCATGTTTCTATTACTCGTAGTGCATTTGGATTGTAACTCAGCAACAATGTCCCGGTGTAGTTATTTTGCATTCAAAATTTTATATTTGGACATGTATAATTGAACTTTATTACATTGTTATATGTATGTTTCAAAGACTCTGAAGCAATATATATTACCATTTAATCTTGCAAGAGTAATTTTCAAACTTAACACGCTTTAATTATTATTAAGTTTTCTTAAAATCCAATTTAATCACCCGTCTCCATCCCAAATCATAAATTAAAGTAGATTGGACATCCATAAATAGGAATAGTCAATTGCAATAGACATCTTTACGGTGTTTCTGATCACCGGAAAAATGATAAAAAATTGGGTATCACTAGAAAGAGGATAATTGAAAGAAAAAAAAATGAATTTGAACTTTCAATCCCTAACACATAAGTGACAAACTAAATCGAATCTAAATCTTAAGATGGCTTCTATTAGAGTGTCGGCTGCTTCTTGGCCTCATTTATTATAAGTGCTCTTATATATATATATATATATATAATCCTTTTTTCTTTCATGAGAAAGAAATTCCTTTGATACCTATCCGATACTTCAAGAAAATATGCAAAGATTAATGCCGGCTCAAATATTGGATGATCTTATGAAAAGGAAATGACATGAACGAGAATCAAGTCCTATTCGAATTAGTTATTACAGCTACTAATTATTTGGAAAAATCCTCTTCTCCTAATAAATTCATATCAACATCATATGGCCATATAAGAAAATGGGATGTGATCATGGTTTTCATGGATATAGATGAAGATCAGCCTAACATTTTTGAAAAATATATATCTTTCAATAAGTATTGAATACGGGATTAATTCAATATTTATCATCTAGAAATCTCTCTATTGTCTATCTCCGAATTATCCTCTATACATATATCCTTTTAAAAATAGCGGAACCACAAATTATATAATTCATCATGTGTATATTGAAAATGAAAATATATTCTGGAAGTCGGCTGGAGCAGCAACCCCATGAAGTGGATATGTGTGTGTCTATAAATACATATACATATATACATATATGATATATCTGAGCATCTCCACCTATTATTATTTTTTCAAGGAATTATCCCCACCTAAGTTTTAGAATTACTTTACTTTTTTTGAGATGTCAAAATGCCATTCTTCAAAAATAACTATATATAAGACTTGTAAAGTTCCATTCTGGGAATGGTATATTAGCAATTACGAATCATAAAAAAACAAAAAAAAAATATCTACAAGGAATATATTGGATGAATCTAAGCATATTGGATCCTGATCATCCCACACCTCTTCTGAACTCATATTAAGATCTCTTATATGGAATAAAGTAATTTTTAAAAATTTGACTGTATTTCTTAATCCCCATTGTCTAGAGGAGGTTCTATTGCTTTGACAAAAAGGAATTAATTATACTACCCTTTGTTATGTTAATTTCGTCTTCCATAAATTGAAAGGTCAATTTATAATCAAACTTTAATTATATTATATGAATGCTAGCTTAATAG